ATAGTTCTGCCTATTTATTGCTTGAAAAGAGCTACATGTACCTCCTGATAAGAGCTTTTTATTGGCCAAAGGTTTTAATAGGAACATGTAATTTTGTTATTGAGAGTCCATGAGGGTATGATTTAATGTGTGGTATGTTAAGTGTGTGTGTGGAAATTGTGTGTGTTTATTGGATGTAATGTAATGAGATGATGTAATGGGGTACACTCTGACCTTTCATTCATAATGATTGTTTGATGCTGTTAATCAATTAATGTAATGATTGGTTACTGTCACTGCTGAATACAAGTAATTCTATGAAGAAAGTAATAAGTACTAGTGAAAAACGTAGCTGCTAGATTAGCATAAACACTTGAAGACAGTAATAGCAAAACAATACAGATTAGGTCAGTGTAGTTGTGTTAACAAGGCCTTTGATTTTTTTTACAAATTTTAAAGCTGCTCCAAAACTAGGTAAAATGTCTGTACATTGTCATGAGGTAAAGTTCTCAAAAATTAAAAGACGTATCTCTTCATTTTTATTACATTATGATGCAAATACATGTACTTAAATAAGCTTAAGTTGTGTAGAAAGTTTTAGTTCATCCCTCTGATCAAAACTGAATTTTTTTATGAATTTTTAAAGTTGTTCCAAATTCAAATGAAAGTCCCTGTACTACACGTATATATATGTTGTACAGGGTCACGAACTAGATTTTTCCCAAAAATACAGTAAATAATGTACATTAAATTCATATACATTAAATTTTTCCTTTTTTCAAAGGCCGTACAAGCAGGGAAGAGAGAGAAAGTCACAAAGAAAGCAACTGAACTGGAGAAAGTAAATCCCTTTCTTTTTTTCTTCACTATAAAGTGATATATACCTCTTCATTTCCCTGTCTTATTGTTCTATTTTGTGTCTCCTCTCTCTCTCTCTCCATTCCCTCCAGTTAGGTGTAACACCAGAGACTCCTCAGGATAAGCTGGTCGAGTCTAATGAGCAGCTAAGAGTTGATGGAGGACAAAGACAATCAACTCAAAGAAGTTATCATCATAATTTGTTATGACATCACTGACAGACTAAAGCATCAGATGAACCATCACTTTAAGCAGTCAGTATGTACTAATAACATGCCTATTTGGAATTTTTATTTTTGTAATTTTGGGAATTTATTGGAATATTTTTAATAAAAAGAAAAACACTAGAAATCCAAAAACACAAACACAGATAATAATAACATTAGGAGTTATGTAATCAAAAAGGCTAAGTATAATTAAAATCTGTTAGGGGCTCTATCTGATGATAGAAATACTTCTACATCAGCTTTTACTTTACCAAGTTCATTTGGAAAATCGTCACAAACTTGAAGCACTTTCCTCCAGCTCACTTCTTTATTGGAGTCTATCCATCTCTGGAACACTAGTATTAGGTTAGTAGTAGCAGCCCCTGGAATAGGCAACAGATCGTCCACTTTAACATCAAGTGCAGTCCCAATGAGCATATAATGGGCAGCAGAGTCCTTAAATAACCTAATGAGGTCACTCTTCTGTACTTCATAGCTCCTCTCAACAGGTACTAAATTATCAAGAGAATGAGAGCCAGTGAATTGAGCATTAATTTATCTATCATCACTTACTAAACCAGCAGGACTGACGTGGTCCTATTTTCCTTGGTAAGCAGTCACCATTAGTGCATGTTATACTAGTTCCAGCTTTGTTACGACAGCATACACCAGCTGTACAGACCTGGCAAAGAGTTCCCTCCAATGTATTGCTACTGTAGGAGAACTTGCTGGAGACAGACTGTATGGATCCCTGGACTAGGACTCTTAGCTTTGTACATGCATCATGTACTGGACCAGCACAATGTATCTCCAACCACTGAATAGTATCCACTAGTAGAATGTTAACTCCTAAATCTCTTGATTGTAGCTTGATGGCATTACGATAAGGTATCTGTTCCTTTAACATCTTAAATCCTTCCTTTAAGAGATTAACCACCAGTGCTGGGTACATTCCCTGTGGTATAATATTGTCTTCCCATCTCAGAACCAAAGGGTCACAGCTTTCACTAAACTGCCTTCTCATCTTT